CCGGAGTAATTATTTGAATATGTCTTTGTTTAGTATTTCTATAGTTTCTTTAAGTAAAATTTGCTGGAAAAAAATCCGCAATAATATGTATCAACCTAATATATAGAGGCAGGTCAAGTACAGGGGAAATAGAAAAAATCAAAATAATCGTGTTTGTCCGTCAGTAAATTATGTGTACTTTCACTAGATCATCTAATGAACGATCGCCGAAAAGTTGCTGAGATCGCGGAATGACTGTGCCACTTTCCAATTTTTCTCAAAGTAGTAAAGCCTAATATTACGAATGAGCGGATGGTGTTTTGAGCATATTCTTGTAGAGGAAATCAAGTAGATCACTTCTAGAAAAAACCCGAACTCAATATTCAAATTCTTTCGAGAGAAAAAAGCCGCGAAAAAATCCGCAATAATTATGCATCAACCTAATATTTTACAGGATTCTTTCAGACCCTGAAGAAGGCGGACAGGCCGGAACGTCGGCTGGATCAAGTTGTTAAATCTCAAAAAGGCTTAAATTAACACAAAAAGTAGTCTAGCTACGCCCAAATTAAGAGAAAGTCGATCATGGTCCGGTCACAAAAATGACACTTTTCACCTCGAATAGAAACGAAAACTTCGTACGATAACCCGGTGTCCTCATGACCGAATGACTGTGCTCCAATGTGTTTAATCCCGTATTTCTCACCTGCTGCTGCATTTCTTCGCGCGCGTAGTCCCTCTTGTTCGTGACAATTTCGATCTTACTGAACCATACCCTAGATCCAGAATTTTAGAAGTTGCATATTTAGTTTCACGGCAAGATATTGCTTAAATATAAAAATCATGCACCTGTCAGTGTCAGTCAGTCACCGGCACACCGGGATCATGCGTTCGACCAGGACCCACAACTCAACTACTGTAGTTATCGTACCGAATTTTTGTTCCTTTCAGCGGAAAGGGATGGTTTTCAGGTCTCCAACCTGCTGGATGTTTTTTTTTGTTTTACAACCAATATCATGGACCAGGCGGCTACGCACGCTCTTGCGCGCGCTAGGGGCTCTAGTCACGAGAGACGCAGCCGCATGAGCTAATTTTCATTTAGACCTTAATCGGATTTATGAGTTTCCGCTCAAACCTCGCCTCCTGCGGGCGGAGTCTGGTCCTGCCACCCAGTGTTCCCATCCTGTCGCCTGTACTCCTACCAAGTTTGAACTTTCTAGGTTCACTGAGACAGAATTATGAATTTTCATCCAGACCCCGCCCCTTGTGGGCGGAGTCTGGTTTTACTACTCACCATAGGTTTCCCCATCACGGTGTCTGTACTCCTACCAAGTTTGAACTTTCTAGGTCCATGGGGACGTGAGTTACGAATTTTCGCCCAAACCCCGCCCTTGTGGGCGGAGTCTGGTTCTGCCGCACACCATAAGTTTTGCCTCCATGTCGCCTGTACTCCTACCAAATTTGAACTCTCTAGGTCCATGGGAACTGGAATTATGGATTTTCGTATATAAATGTAAGAAGGGATGTGAGTTTCGAGGCACGCTCCGCCCATTGTGGGTGGGCCTCCGCTGACGTCATTTATGCTGGAGATACCTTCGACAATACCTCTCCTATATCAATTTTTCCTGCTCTGTTGGCTTTCTCCGAACAGAGTTATAAATGTTCTCATAAAGCACTGCATTTCTGGAGAACGTCCCGCCCATCGGGGGTGGGTCTCCCAGTTCGATCTAACTTACCAATGCACACCTCTAGCCACCTTTAAACTCCAGTTTTGAAGCCGTCTTGTTACTGGATTTGAAATCACGGTCCTCAGTTGGGCTCATTTCGAGGTGCGCCCACTGTGGGCGGGGCTCCGCCAAGCTGATGTGTGTTTTATACTTCTCGAGACCTGGCTCACCCATCCCACACTTGACCCGGTCTCTCCAGGCAGATCTAAAGGAGCTAAGGAATATTGTGACAGACATACAGACAGACAGACAGACAGACAGACAGACGGACAGACAGACAGACAGCAGACAGACAGACTAAGCGCTTTATAGTAAGTAGGATTGTATTGGATCGAACTCACCATCAACCTGACAGTCGTCATTGCGGCGCCATTATAAAGCAGACAAGTGCAAAAAAATGTACATAGCCCACACCTTTTCGACGCTGCTGTCCTTTCTACTTCGAGGTATTCGAGGTACACCTCATAGACTGGGACCCTACGAAAACAGTATGAACATACTATGAGCGTCACTCAACATGCTTTGGTTAGAGCAATGCTGAAATTTCCTTATACACGCAATTGTAGAGGGGCATCCGGAGTTCCGAGCTCCGTCAACGAAGTAAGATCGAGATGCCGTTGCTTACGCCTAGAAATCAAAGATCAGGTGACCGGACACGTTTTGCAATATCGAAGTCATCGCTGGACCAGGGTGGTTACTGATTAGGTGCCTCGGGACACAAACGAACACCAGAATTGCCGCCAGATCCACGGCCAGACTTGTTCACAAAAGCCCTGAACAAAAGAAATGTCAGCCCCGTGTTCCTCGAGCGAGGACGATTCACTGCACCACTCAGACTACCGACAGTCACGAATGGAGAGGATCGGGGCCGCTCGAGGAATCGATGATTAACAGGACGACAGACGGTACATATGAATGAAAACTTAATGAATAGAGACAGAAGAGGAAAATGAGGGATAAAAGTGAACTAATTTTTAGAAGGTTGTTACTGGTGACTAGATTAAAAATTGAGAGTGTAGAATTTGATTTTTGTGGTACTGCCAATTAACCAAAGGTAAAAGAAAAAAAACATTGCATCGATAAAGCATCTCTCTGGTATTACACGAAATCCTTGCTTTTTCGCTATTCGCTGCAGCACTTTTATGATAGTGAGCACCGACGTCAACGAATGGATCTAACCATAATATTTGCAACAACAATGGATCCTAAGCGTGAAATGTAAGCGTGAAATGGAATGAAAGAATTGAATAAGACAAGAGGAACCACCATGACGCTGTCACCTAACCGTCGGTTGACAGCGATCCTGTAACCCGGATAGGGTACAAGAATCTCTCTATATATAATCCACAAGTTTGGTGTGTCTGTTTGTATGTATGTATATATGTGTGTATGTATGTATGTTTATATGTATGTATGTATGTATTGTATGTATTGTATGTATTGTATTGTATTGTATTGTATTGTATTGTATTGTATTGTATTGTATTGTATTGTAT